TCCGCCCGCCGCGACCCCCAGCGCCCGCGGGCGGAGCCGAGAGAGCCCCGTCTCGGGTTTTCTGGGAGGATGTGATGTCTTGTCAGCCCGGCTGAGTAGCAAGGTCTTGTCCAGCTTTGGGGTGCAGCTGCCCTGTCAGGCACCAGGAGTCTCTGCTGGTCTGAGATCTCCAAGGGGGAGAGACGCTGAGGGCCTGGCAGGATGTCAGTGAGGATGTAAATTGGTGGAGATCAGCAAGACAAGAGGTGACGCAGACAGGGGACGGGGAGGGGGAAGAGAGCAGGAGGGAAAACCGGCTAACGGGAGACATTAGGTAGGTACGTGGGGACATTAGGTATGCAGGGAACAAGAGAGCAAATGGGAGCGTGGGGCCGCTGCACAGCAACTCAGGACAGCTGGGTACCGGTACCCAGGAGAAAACTGAACTCCTGAATGATAGCTTTGCCTCCATGTTTCAACAAGCCCCGGGGAAATCACGCCAGATAGGGTACAGAATGAGCAGGGTAGACGTGACCGCCTTCTTACTGTTGCCGAAGAACTGACGTGTGATCAATTAAAAAAAGTAGACACATATAAGTGAGCAGGACCAGATGAACTCCATCTGCAGATGCAGAAGGAGCTGGCCCAAGTCATCGCCTGGTGAAACTGTCCCAAAACTCGTGGTGCTCCGGAGAGGTCCCTGAGGACTGGAAGAGGGCCAATGGGTTCATTAGAGGCAGGTCCTGTCAGACCAACCTGGTGGCCTTCTATGACCAGGTCACACAATCCTTAGACGCAGGGGTAGCAGTGGACGTAGTCTTTCTGGACTTTAGGAAGGCCTTCGACACTGTCTCTCACCCCATTCTCATTAAAAAACTAGGGGAATATGTCATCGACACCTATACAGTCAAATGGGTCACTAACTGGCTGCCGCACCCAGAGAGTGGTGGTGGATGGGTCCTATTTGACATGGAGGGATGTGGGCAGTGGGGTTCCCCAGGGCTTGGTCCTCGGGCCTGCACTGTTCAACATCTTCATCAGCGACTTGGACGAGGGGGTAAAAAGCACCCTGTTCAAATTTGCAGATGACACTAAGATGTGGGTGGATGTGGGCACGCTAGAAGGGAGGAATAGGCTGCAATCGGACCTAGACAGGTTACAGGGGTGGGCAGATGAGAACAGGATGGTTTTCAACACTGACAAGTGCAAGGTGCTGCACCTGGGGAGGAAGAACCAGCAGCACATCTACAGGCTGGGGAACTCCCTTCTCGTCAGTGCAGAGGCAGGAAAGGATCTTGGAGTCATTATTGATGCCAAAATGAACATGAGCCGACAGTGTGGTGACACAGTCAGGAAGGCCAACCGTTCCTTGTCATGCATCCACAGATGCATCTCGAGCAGGTCCAAGGAGGTGATCCTCCCCCTCTATGCGACACTGGTCAGGCCACAGTCGGAGTACCGCATCCAGTTCTGGGTGCCACACTTCAGAAGGAATGTGGACAACGTGGAGAGGGTCCAGCGGAGGCCACTCGCGTGATCAGGCAGGCCCTACGAGGAGAGGCTACGGGACCTGAACCTGTTCAGCCTCCACAAGAGAAGGCTGAGGGGGGGATCTAGTGGCTGTTTACAAACTAGTCAGGGGGACCAGCAGGCATTGGGGGAGTCCCTGTTCCCCCGAGCACTCCCAGGAGTGACTAGAAATAATGGTCATGACTAGAAATAATGGTCACAAGCTGGCAGAGGGTAGATTCAGACTAGACACCAGGAGGCACTACTTCACTGTCAGGGTGGCTAGGATCTGGAACCAACTTCCAAGAGAAGTGGTGCTGGCTCCTACCCTGGGGGTCTTTAAGAGAAGGCTAGATGAACACCTTGCCGGGGTCATTTGACCCCAGTAGTCTTTCCTGCCATGGCAGGGGGTCGGACTTGATGATCTGCTCAGGTCCCTTCCAACCCTACCAACTATGAAACTGTAAAGAGGCTGGAAGGTTAGGCAAGTCAGAACTAAATGAAGTTCAACCTTGAGAAACGTAAAGTGCTCCACCTGGGGACGAACAATGCCTTGCACACCTGCAGGCTTGGAAACACCAATCTGACCAACACCACAGATGAAAGAGACCTGGGGATTATAACTGACCACAGTATGAATGTGAGCCGGCAGTGCAACTCTCTTGTCAGCAGGACAGATAATACTCTGGCATGCATTGATTGATGAATCTCCAGCAAGACCAATGAGGTGATTCTTCCACTCTACTCAGCACCGGTGAGACCGCAGCTGCAGTACTGCAACCAGTTCTGGGCGCCACATTTTAACAAGGACGTGGTAAAACTTGAGAGTCCAGAGAAGGGCCACCTGTATGATTAGAGTCTTGCACAGCAAGCTGAACGCAAAAAGGCTGAGGGACCTGGGACTCTTCAGCCTGAAAAAGAGAAGGCTGAGAGGGGACTTGGTAGCAGTTTAATGCTACGTCAGGGGAGTACATAAGGGGCTCAATGAACAACTGTTCACCAGTGCGCCCTTGGGGAGAACCAGGAGTAATGGCCACAAACTCCTGGAAAACCATTTCAGGCTCAAGATTGTGAAATGCTTCTTCACAGTCAGGGTGTCCAGCCTGTGGAATAAACTGCCTCTAGAGGTCATGCAATCACCTACCCTGGAGATCTTCAACAGTCACCTTGCTGGGGTCACCTGACCCCACCTGTCACTTTTCCTGCCTGGTGCAGGGGGCTGGACCCAATGATCTTCTGAGGTCCCTTCCAGCCTTACAATCTATGAATCGTGTATTAATACCACTGTAATGTTTCCATTTGGCCTGTTTTTCCCCTGCCTCCTCTCCCCCCCGCACTTTACCTTGTTTCTTCTTCTTCCCTATTTATATTTTCACTACATCCTCTCACACTTGTAATTTGTCTCATTCCTGTTTTCCTGATCTCCAGCTATTTTCTTTTTAACTGATTAGCCTCTTTTCTACCTTGTATTCTATCACTGTAATGTCTCCCCTTAGCCTTTTTCCCCCTGCTCTCTTCCCCAGCCTCTGCTTCACCTTTTGTCTTTCTAATTTCTACCTATTTACATTATCACTGACAATCTGGCCATACTTTTCTCTCATTGGAGTCTCAGAACAGCAGAGACTTCCTGTGCCTGAAGATGGGTGACTGTGCCCAAAAGCTTGCTAAGAACTTTTTCCAACTACTCAGTTGGTCTAATACAAGGTATCACATCTACCCAAAGAAGCTTACCTGTCTATGTCCTTAGACCAACATGGCTACAACCAGAAACTCTGTCTCTTTAGAGCATCCTTGTTCTTCCTGTGGGTGTGTTAGTGTAGCCCAGTGCCAGGCCACGAGCTCTCTCTACATATCCTTTTTTACTAATTTGCAGCTGAGCAATACTGAGTCTTTTTAACACTCCATAGGCCTTGGAGCATGGGTGCTGAGAGCCCCTCTGTATTTCAGAAGACCAGAATATCTTTCTGTGCTCTGTGAGCCTTTAGTTTCATTAAAAGGTGCTCTAAAGTCAGGTTTCTAGTTCTGAGTATTAATAGTGATGCATTCATAGTAAGAATCTGTTTTTTGCTTAATATCTTGTATGCTTTGAAGTTTTTTAAACTGTCTTCTTAGAACTCAGCCACCACCTCAACTTCCCTTGGGTCCCAGTCACAAATTTGCAGATAACTACTACTGTACCCGGGATGGACGCAGAGAGACCTATCCTCCAGTTGTTGTTATGTCACCACAGAAAATCCTTGCATCAGGTGCTCAAGCTGGCAGGTAGGTCCTATTTATCTTATGACCTACGACCATACAAGATCTGGCTGTGACTTTGCTAGCTAAGCAGTGTCAAACTTGGTTGAAAACTAGTGTGGAGTACTACAAGGAAGCACACAGGTGCTAGTAATAGGATGCTGAATAAATGCCTCTGTACATCTTCTCTTGAGAAATCAGCATGATTAGGGCTGGAGCTGGATTCCTTAAAACCTCTGCCTTACCAGTATCTCTGAGAGAGTTATATGTGTGAATGGGAGGGCAACAATGGGATCTGCCTTAACTCTGCAGTGAAAACACCTCCAAAACAGCTAATATCCAAAAGAGTTAATGATTCCTGAAGCCTAGTCTCTCCTCCTTCCCAGCTCGGACTCTGCAGTAGCAACAACCGAGAAAAAGGCAGTGACACCAGGAGTTCCACCGAAGAAGTGGGAATTGTCAACGGATGAACCTTATCTGTAAACTAAACAAGTATGAAGAGAAGTCTCAATATGATGGTACTTCTCAGGATTGATTTAAAAGAAACAGTCTGCCTGAAAAGTGAGCAAAGGGGGGGTTAGCTTTGGTAATATTATTGAGAACTTACTTGTCTGAGGGAGTTTTGTTGGTGTCTGGTAAATAAATATTTATCTGTAATGTCTACTTTTGTTATTTTAGAGGACTCTTTCCACCTAAATGAGTTTTGGGAATGATTATTTTCCCCATCCCCCTCATTTTCCGTTAAAAAGAAAAAAAAAGAGGGTCTAACTTTCTAAACTCCATATCAGTGGGGCACCCCTTGGAAAATCCCATCTCTTAGCTTTCATTTGTTTTCTTGACTATGGAGAAATAATAAAGCAATTCTTCTGTTGCAAAGAACTCAAATACCACAACAGGTCAATGGTTTTGACACTGGATTCCTATTTGAAATCTCTGGATTTATTTTGTGAATCGTGTGTTGTTTTTGCACACCTAGCAGTTCTAATATTGCATGGCACCCTGTGGCACCATCAAAAGGATCTCATGGCATCCTGCAGTGCTGCGGCATCCTGCAGTGCTGCAGCACCCTGGTTGAGAATCACTGCTCTAAGGAACACAACTTTGGCTAGAGATCTGAAGAGCTCACAAACCTAGCAGCTCTTGGAGAGAGACTCCAAAACACAGTTGTTGTACAGAGTAAAATTGATGATACTTCCATGTGAGTTATTACTAAAGGAGTACCCTCCATTGCTGCTACAGGGCATGGTTTTGTAAGTGGTGCCATTGCCAGGATGGGGCTTATAACTTCAAATTCCTGATCACAGATGTTGGCTATTGAGACTGTAGCAATTTCCAAGCGTCTCCAGCCAAAGAGACATTTGTCCAAATTACTAGGAATAAACTCCAGCTCAAATATCACTTTAGAAATGGGCAATTCTAATTGAATAATTATTCTAACAGGAAGTGAAGAACTTTGAATAGTTAGTATAAAGTGTGCCACTCCATATAGTATCATTTACCTTTTCGACTGGTTGTCTGAGAGATAACGTGCATTAAGTGTGATATTGACTGTTTGTTGTTCGTTCCCCAAGGAATCCATTTATTTCCTCTCCTGGCCATGTCAAGCTTTACTGACAATTTCTTATGCCTTTGGGACATACAGATTGCTCTTAATTCCAGAGTTTCCTTGAAGAGTAGGTGGGTTAACCTAGCCTGCAGGTAATGCAGTACTCAGATCCCTGGGCAACACACATGGGTGGGGTGTGTGCGCCCACATGCGTGTAAGGGACTGCAGACTGACTAGGTCTTCTGAGTTTATATCCTTGTGCGGCTCAGTAAGCTGAGCTCTACTGATTTTTTTTTTTCTTTTTCTTTTTCCCCAGTGAATTTTAAGGATTTGTTTGTCCTTCTGGGTACATAGATTTCATAGACATTAGGGCTGGAAGGGACCTCGGAAGATCATCGAGTCCAGCCCCCTGCCCAAAGGGCAGGAAGTCAGCTGGGGTCATAGGATCCCAGCAAGATAAGCATCCAGTTTGCTCTTGAAGGTGTTCAGTGTAGGCGCTTGAACCACCTCCGGTGGCAGGCTGTTCCAGACCTTGGGGGCTCAGACAGTAAAGAAATTCTTCCTTATGTCCAGCCTGAAACGGTCTTGTCGTAGTTTATGACTGTTCGACTTAGTCGTCATCCCTTGGGGCGCTCTAGTGAACAAACCTTCCCCCAGATACTGGTGGTCACCCCTGATAAACTTATAGGTGGCCATCAGATCACCCCTGAGCCTGCGCTTTTCCAGGCTAAAGAGCCCCATAGCTCTCAGCCTGTCATCGTAGGGTCTGCTTCCCTGACCTCTGATCATGCGCGTGGCTCTTCTCTGGACTCTCTCAAGCTTCTCCACATCTTTTTTGAATTGTGGAGCCCAAAACTGGACACAGTACTCCAGCTGCGGCCTCACTAAGGCCGAGTACAGGGGGAGAATGACGTCCCGGGATTTGCTTGAGAAGCATCTATGGATGCAAGTCAGCGTTTTGGTCGCTTTACTAGCCGCCGCATCGCATTGCAGGCTCATGTTCATCTCGTGGTCAATGATGACCCCCAAGTCTCTTTCTTCCATAGTGCTAGCCAACATAGCACTGCCGAGCCTATAAGGATGCTGCGGGTTTTTCTTCCCAAGGTGGAGAACCTTACATTTATCGGC